GAAGGTCAATTTAAGCGCTGCTGAGAAGGAAAGGTTAGGGCAGGAAACTATTCTTATTTCCGTCCAAAACTGTCTTCAAGGTGGGCGGGGCTACGTGCATGATGCGTGGGTGGGCAGGGACTTGACCCTGGGTCCCTTGGCCCGCCAGGTCTGGATCTCCCGAGATTTCGTGTAGTGGGCCTCTAGTATAAATTAAAAGAAATTTACATCCAATAACCCACTGTTTTCTCCTGGGTGTATATTCAACAGAAGTGCATAAAAATATATCAAGAGATGTGTAGTTTAAATGTTGTGGTAGCATCATAGATATTTAGCAAAATTCTATTGGTATAATGAATCCTGTTTATTTACAAATATAAAAACTATTTTTTTTTTAAAAAGCACATTCATCTCCTTAATAAGTGTCAAATATAAATTTGCTTTTTTATCCTACACTAAGGGCATGAATTCGTGCACCTTGAAAGGAACTGTGGGCCACAAGGCTATGGTAAGCACAGGGGCAGATCTCAGCCCATCCTCCGTGCTTCCACCTGGCTCCTCCCACCTCAGTCCCCAGTCCCCTGTCTGCTGGCAGCCCTGCTCCTGCTGCTGCTGCTCCCACGCACTGACAGTGCCAGCCCCGCTCACACCTGCTGAAGGTGCAGAATGATTGGGGCTGGCCCCAGCAGTGGCTGCGAGCAGCAGCTACTGCCCTGATCACCCTTCAGGAGCTGGGGGAGGTAGAGAAGTCCTCAGAGGCAATCAGGGCCAGCAGCCACTGCTTGCACCCACTGATGGCGCTGGCAGTGGGTGCAAGTGGCAGCTCCAGTGCCAGCAGCAAGTGCAAATGCCAGGCGGGACGATAGCATGCGGAAGCAAAGAATTTTTAGTAACTACCAGAGGCTCGCCCCAGTGGCAGCAATCAGTGCTCTACCTTGGTCTGATGCCCCCCTCACCTTCTCCACCACTCCTCTGCAGCCAACACCCACCATGGTCCACGCATGCTCCCTGGTGGTCAGTGCACGTCATAGCGACCAGTTATTTGATTGTTCCAGTTGTTCTGCCTTTCGGTCTATTTGCATATTAGCTTTTTATTATATAGGATAATAGAAGACTAACATGCAAATTGTCCACTTGAGTGGTTGACTGGGAGTCCTGGAGTTCAACTGCTTGCTATGATGTACACTGAACACCAGAGGGCAGCATGGAACATGGAGGACATTGGCAACACAGCACTGGCAGCGGGCAGCTGTGGAGGCACTGCTGGCCCCAATAGGCCCCAACAAGAGTGGGACTGTGGAGAGATGATGGAGCAGGTGAGCGGGCAGTGACAGGCCAAAGCAGGTGTGAGCAGGGGTAAGCTGGGCTCTGCCCTCCCACATCAAATGCTTACACTTTGATTGCTGGCCAGGCCTAAGGACTATACCTGTGCACAAATTTGCATATCAAATGATGTAATGATTTATGTTTTCATCACTTGTGTACAAATAAGAGTTATAATAAAAATCCAACTCAAAAAGAAAAATGTTAATTTCTTATTGGTCCCAAGAAACAAATTTTGTTTAATTTCTATTTATTTACTTATGGTCACAAGAAACATATAATTTGTTGAGCAGAAACATGATAGGATGATTACTAAAAATTGTTTAAGTATAAAAATATATTGAATAAAATTCTGCAATAGAGGTGGAATAAAGTACAAGTTCAAAGAGAAAAAAGAAAATGTAAAGTTAAAAAGGTGCTTATGTCTTTTTGTAAATGGTCAATAGTGGTTCTCAGGTTTCAATGATGACACTAGATATATTTAAAACAGTGGCACACCTTTTATTTTTAAATGTCAATATTTACAATATACTAGAAATTGCAACAATTTAGACTCAAGAAAAAAAAGTTTGCCATCAACTTAAAAATATATGGAGAGACAAAATTGTTCAAAAAGATTTTATGAGCCAAAACCAGTTTGGCTCAGTGGATAGAGCGTCAGGAAATCGTTAGCCTGCGGACTGAAAGGTCCCAGGTTCGATTCCTTCAAGGGCAGGTACCTTGGTTGCAGGCACATCCCCAGTAGGGGGTGTGCAAGAGGCAGCTGATTGATGTTTCTCTCTCATTGATGTTTCTAATTCTCTATCCCTCTCTCTTCCCCTCTGTAAAAACTCAATAAAATATATATTTTTAAAAAAGATTTTATGTACTACTTAAGCAAAGAATCAAGACTACTGCTCTTTAGGCAACTGAAAAGGAACTCAGTCAAATTGTGGCCCCAAATTCAAAGCTATGATTTTTTAAATCAACTGTATTTATAAAATTTACAATATTAATGAAAACTGCCTAGAAAATAGTAAGTGAAAGTGAAACAGGTTAGTAAGCCAAGACAAGTAGAATAGGCAAACAGAAATAGATAAAGAAGTAATCTAGTAAATCCAATCTTCCCTAAACCAAGGACACTTAAGAGCAAATGATTTGTAGTTCTCCTCCACAACCAGAGGGTAAATAGATTAAATCACCTACTCGGGAAAACAAATAGCAAAAATCCAATTAGTGCCATTTGCCAATGAAATGCCAAATGAAGTTAAAAGGATAAATCTCATTTTAGCACATCAACATAAAACTGATGAATATTCTATTGAGATTCCCCTCTAAGGCCTCCCCTAAACACCTGTGGATTAAAAAAAAAAGGGGGGGGCCCACATGCTAACCTGACAAACTCAGGGAAGGCCTGCATGGTAGTCTTGCAAATTCAACCACCTAAAGCAGTGGTTGGCAAATGGCGGCTTGCAAGCCACATGTGGCTCTTTGGCCCCTTGAGTGTTCTAACGCCACTTCTTCAAAATAGACACGCCCAGGCCAAAAATCGACTTCTGAGCATGGGCCACAAAGTTTCAATCACACTGTATGTGCACAACTGCACATGGTATTTTGTGGAAGAGCCACACTCAAGAGGCCAAAGAGCCACATGTGGCTCGTGAGCTGTGGTTTGCCGATCCCAGTAGAATCAGGCCTAAATGGGCAATTGGACATCCCTCTCACAATCCAAGACTGCTGGCTTCCAACTACCCTCCTGCCTGCCTTCCTGATTGCCCCTAACCACTTCTGCCTGCCAGCCTGACCACCCCCTCACCACTCCCCTTCCAGGCTGATGGATGCCTAACTGCTCCTCTACCAGCCTGTTTGCCCCTAACTGCCCACCCCTGCAGGCCTGGTCACCACTAACTGCCCTCCCCTGAAGGCCTGGCCACCCCTCCCAAACTGCTCTCCCTGCAGGCCTGAGTCCCCCCCCCCAACTGCCTTTCCCTGCAGGCCTGCCCCTCAAAAAAAAACACAAAAAATTGCTCTCCCTGCAGGCCTGGATCCCCTATCCCCCCCCCCCACACACACACACATACTGCCTTTCCCTGAAGGCCTGGTCACCCCCAACTTCTCTCCTCTGTCAGGCTGGTCACTCCAAACTGCCCTCCACTGCAGGCTTGATTGCCCCCAACTGCCCTCCCTTGCAGGTCTGGTTCCTCCCAACTGCTGTCCCCTGCTGGCCATCATGGGGGCAGGATCTTTGACCACATAGGGGCAGCCATCTTGTGTGTTGGAGTGATGGTCAATTTGTATATTACCCTTTTATTAGCTAGGCTAGATGCCTGGTGCATGGATGGGGGCAAACTGGTTTGCCCTGAAGGGTGTTCTGGATCAGGGTGGGAGTTCCCTTGTAGTGTGGGGTGGTCTGGGCAAGAGGCCTGTGGTGGTTTGCAGGCTGGCCACACCCCCTGGTGACCCAAGGGGAGGCCTTGGTATCTGGGATTTATTTATCTTCTATAATTGAAACTTTGTAACCTTGAGCAGAGGCCTGGGGTGGTCAAGGTATGTGGAAAACTTGCCTTCCTCCATTGCCTTGGAAACCCAAGCCTCCTGCTCTCTCCACGGATGTAGCCATCTTGGTTGGGTTAATTTGCATACTTGCTCCTGATTGGCTGGTGGGCATGGCTTGTGGGTATAGCAGAGTGATTGTTAATTTGCATATTACTCTTTTATTAGATAGGATGACATATTCATGAAATGTCAGGGTAACTTGTAACCTCCTTTTTTCCCAGACCCTTAGGGCACAACCAAATGCTCTGGATGCCAGGACAGATACCACAAATTCCTTCATTGTTACTGTTACATGTTAATTGTTGGCTATTAACTCTCCTGCACCCACTTAAGTAAAAGAAGTATGTGTCTATCATTTTACTTTTTATCCAATCCTGGAGGTCCTCCCACCTTTTGCTTTCTGCTGCCTCCCTAATCTACCACCAATGGATTTCATGTAACCCACTTACATCTCCTTCTTTGATTGTAATGTAGAAAACAAGGTGAAAAACAGCCATTCTCTGAAGCATTATCCCAATCCATTGAGATTCTGCTTCCCAGCAATTGTCGACAATAAACTCAAATAAACTCAAAAATTATTTACGGTTTGAACACTTTTTACCTTAACACACCCAACCTTTAAAACCCCTCAAAACAAAGATCCAGCATGTGCTCTCTCTCTCAGGAGCACTTTCCTTCTTCCTCCTCCTCCCCCTCAGGCACACACCTGCACCTTCTAAACCACATGTGTCAAACACAGGGCCCGTGGGCCAAATCCGTCCCGCCAGGCCTTGCAATGTGGCCCGCACTGCGCTGTCATCACTGCACTCCGCTGCGTTTCCATCACAATGACAGTTTATGACTGTTCAGTAAACCATTCGGCCCACGATTTAGGCTGGATTTTAGATTTTGGCCCAGTCTCTGATTGAGATCGACACCCCTATTCTAAACTCTAAGGGACCCCACAGGAAAGCAATGGGCAGTGGAAGCTTATCCTGGGCTAAACCTTGAATCTGTCCCCAAGGCCCCCTTTTCTCTGATGTCTTAGTGAGCTAAAGCAGCCCAGCCTCGGCTCATTTCCCCAGCCCTTTCTTATTTTATTGTCCCAGCTTTATTTATTTTATTTATTTATTTATTTATTTTGCAGAATTTTATGATTTTATTAACACAAATACAATGTATACACAATCTGTCTATTTGTTTTCTTCGCTGCCTGGCATTGGGATTGGTGACTCTAATGGCCAGCTGGGCTGCTCTTTCCACAATGGCTTTGCGGTTCTTGGAGGAGACGTTGTGAGCAATCTCAGCACAGTGAGACTTATTGCACATCAGCAGCACTTCAAGCTCCTTGACGTTATGGACCAGAAACTTCCAAAAGCCACTGGGCAGCATGTGCTTTGTTTTCTTGTTGCTCCCATAACCAATGTTGGGCATCAAGATCTGGCCCTTGAATCTTCTCCGCACCCTGTTGTCAATGCCTCTGGGTTTCCGCCAGTTCCGCTTAATTTTTACATACCTGTCTGACTGGTGCCAGATGAACTTCTTGGTCCTCTTTTTGACAATCTTGGGTTTCACGAGGGGTCTGAGGGCAGCCATGGTGCCATGTAAGAGATGGCTGCCACCTCCGTAGGCAGCGCTGAGGAAGAGTTATTGTCCCAGCTTTAATTAACATGCTCTCAAAATCACCGGGACTTGTATTGTGAAATCTTTCCTGTGCGAATTTAACAACCCACACACTACCAAATGGCCCTAGGCAGACCCGCTCAGGTCCAGGTCCCCTTTCTTTTATATATATTTTTTTCTATTGATTTCAGAGAGGAAAGAAGAGGGAAAGACAGAAACAACAATGATGAGAGAGAATCATTGATTGCCTCCTACATGCCTCCAACTGGGGGGTGAGCCTGCAATCTGAGCATGTGCTCTTGACTGGAATTGAACCTAGGACCCTTCAGTCCACAGGCCAACGCTCTATCCACTGAGTCAAATCAGCTACGGCGCCAAGTCCCCTTTATGGTAACAAAAATGAAAGCAACTCCAGGGATTTTCATAATGAAAGATCAGACAGAGGCCAAAAACCAGGACTACAGGCTTTATTAGAGGAGAAGGATCTGCTGGCTATCTCACCAGGGGAGACAGCACCCAGAGCAGAGGTGAACACACCTTTTTGGCACAAAATTCTAAAAAGATCAATTTTAAATCAAAATCGCTATTAGCCGCACATCATTTTTGAAAAGTATTGTAAAATACTAATTCTGGTGAGGAGTTGGCTGAGAACCTCTGCTCCATATGATGAGGGTGGGGGGCTTCCTCTCTCCAGGGCCCCTCATCCTCTGGCTTCTTGATTGCCCCTCCTCTGCCCTGCCCTCCAATGCTGGGATTCCTAGGAGCTAGGAGCCAGGTCCATTCTTTGCTCTCTCAGGTGAGACATTTCTCAGGACTTCAAATGTCTGCCAGTAAGGACCCCCAAACCTATGTCCGCTGTCCAGATCTGTGTCATCCAACTCCAGATATAAGCTCCTTGCTGGGTCTCTACTGCTCAAACCTCAGGACAAGCTGTTTCCCACCTAGGATGTTTGCTTCCCTCTTTCATCCCAAGCCCCACCCCTCCTTGAATGAGAAACCAACTCCCCCACCTGCCAGCACTCCGTGATGGGATCATCATCAACCTTGAGTTCCTCCAAATATCCCATGCTACCCTCTGACCTCCCAAAAGGCTGTTTTCTTGGCAGGAAATGCTCTTCCTTGTGATCTTCCTCTACTCATTCTTCAGACTCACACGTGCCCTCCTCCAGGAAGCCCTCCTCCCTGCACCCATCACTCCCAGGCTGGGGCAGACACTTACTCTGAGTTCCACAGTTCCCTGTACCTCCCAGCCCAGTCCAGACCATGCTGGGCAGTCAATGGTGGCTGATCTAGGTTGTGAGTGGAGCTGTCTCGGTCTTCACTGTAACCTCATTGTCCTGCCAGGCCTGTGGCTCCCTGGCAGCAACACTGGATGTGAGAAGCTGAGGCCCAGACGCCCTGAGACCATCTGCACTTGGAACAAATGGGCCCCTCCGCATCCTTGTTCTGTAGGTCCCCAGGCAACCACTCCTTATTCTGGAAGTTGGAGCAGGTTGAAAGAAAACATGCAATTAAATGCAGGAAGAATTTACTTCAGATTTAGAGATAACAGTGCATAAAGGGGAATGTGACTTCGAAGAAGCACAGCCAGTGCCCTCCTGAACTTGGGTGGGGCTTTTTGTCAGCTCTCTAAAAGTGGGGCTCACTTTGTAGAAATACAGAAAATAACCGAACCCGGCTGGTTCTGGCAGCAAAACTGAGAACATTAGCAGCCTTAGTTCCTCGGGATGGAGGGACGAGGGTGAGGGCCAAAACTGCAGGTCCAGGGAGTAAGGAAGGCGTGGAAGGGAGAAAGTGATTCTTTCTCTGTAGACTTTGACATTGTTAATGAGCTCATAATCATGTACTCCTTGTGTAATTGAATCTCTTTGGGAAAGTATTATGGAGATAATAACACTGACTTCAGGCTGTTTGAGGTGTGGGTGCCACCCTTGGCATGGAACACGCATCCAAAACACGCCTGCAGCAAGCGGTAGCTGGCTCACATCAATTATCTGCCAATATCGTCCGTTAATCATGCGACGCCCATTAATCCTGAGGAAGGTACTAATATACCGCCCCATCTTATGATGAGAAGCTGGAATGAGCCACATCCCTGCATTTGGTTGTTACTGCATTCTGAGAGGCAGGTAGTCATGAGCTCCATTTACAGAGGGGAAAACTGAGAGGCTGGCTAACAGCTGAAGTCACTCTAAGGAGACAACATTGGGGCGGGGGAGGGAGGGGAGGGCAGAGCTGGATTTAGGCCACCACTATTTCCAAGCCCAAGGCAGCATCCTCAAAGCACAACTTGGAACCTCTCACACCTTTCCATCTTCTCTCCCAACCCTTTTCTGTTCCATTTGAATGCGGATCCATTAAGCTGCCCTGCCAGGTATTTCCTGAGATGGGTCCTCCACCCCTCTCCCACTCCACCAACCAGCGAAGCCACATATTTTCGTCAAACAGGACACTTCTTGCCCTGTGAGAATGCCAAAGCCAGCTTTGAGACTGGAGCACTTTCACTCCACTCTGCCTGTGTCATCCTGGCCAGATGTGGGGCATGGGGAATTAGGGGTGGCTATGAGTGTCCCACATCCTACGTGGTTCAGGGTTCGGGCTGGGGTTCGGCTCTGGAGGAGGGAGGCCTCACACAAATGAAAGAGATAAGACAAGAAATAATAATTTGGAAATTGGGGGCCAGGCGGAAGCCCATGAAAGGACTCCGCTTTTATTCATCCCTTTTATTCAAGTTTGGGATACACCCATAGCCCTTAGGCAGGCAATACCAGTAACAGGCAGACTAACTTATCAATAAGGATCTATACCGCTGTCTGGTAGGGAAATTGCTTCAGTTACCATTGTCTTGACTGAATAGCTCTGACCTTTGCCAGAGCTTTAAGGGTCTCCAGCCTTCTGGGATCCCTGTCCACACTTCTCTGATAGTGAAGACAGTGGGCGGCTTCTCGCAGGTGAGGAAGACTGGCATCCAGTGATGGGCTTGAGGTGCATCCAGTGTCAGGCAAAGGATCACAGACCTGCGTTGAAAGATCCCCCTGGCTGTGAAGGAGAGTGATGGGGTGAGGGGGGAGGGGAGGACCTACAGACCTGGAGCTTCTGGGGGAGACTGGGCTGGAGCCCAGCAGAGGGCAGAAGGGAGACTTAAAGCCAGAAGCCCCATGACTCAAGCGTTTGAAATGAGGCAATTTTCAACCAGAGAAAAACACTGTGCTGTCTCTGAGAGAAAAAAATGAAATGACCTACGGATGGGTCCGTAGGGGAAGTGGATGTGAAACTATGGTTATTAACCTTGTTATAAAAAACAGGAAAGGAGCAAAGGGAAGGCCAGCTATGATAGACATGCCATTTGTGCAGCTTTGCCAGAAAGCTGCAATTTAACAAAAGCTGCTAGTCCATTCCCGCAGCTCGCTGGGGGAAGGGCTAACCAGGGTGGAGAATGGATGCCTCCCCAGGAAAGTCTGGGTGAGCTAGGGAAGGTACCTGTCTGTCAATCACACCTGTGAAGAGGTCATTGGCTAGAGTAGGTGTGGCCACTGTAAGCACCGGAAGAGAAAGATTTGAAATATTTAATCTCCTAAACAAGTTCTCTCTCTCTTGTGCTCTTCTCCTGGCATTCTGGGGACTCTTGGTGCAGGGGGCCTGCTCTCCTGGCTCCTGTGCATTCACCAACACAGCCCACAGTCATGTGGGCCCCACACAAGGAACTAATGGACTACAACTTGCCTAATGCTAACGTGGACCCAATGCCAGCGAGGAACGGAAACTGGACACTGGTTTTGCTTTGAGCTCTATTGACTGCACTTCCTCCAGGACTGGATTAAGGGAAATGGAACTTTAGAAACCCAGATGTGTATTTCCACACAAATAAAAATCATCCTCCCACGTGAATCTCAAAAAATTATTTTTCTTGAGATATTGTAAGGACCCCATCTCAAGCACTCTGTGGGGAAAAGGACATCCCACTTCCACCTATAACAGTTGGAGACACGTTAAAGCCATTCCATGGACTACTCCCAAGAGTCAAAATCACTTGAACTTGTATTGTGAACTCTTCACACACTACCCATCAGCCCCACGTAGACCCAGTTGGGCCCAGTCCCCTTTCCAGTAACAGATACACAAATATGTAGGAAAATAATTTTTAAATGCCTCAGAATATTAACTATGTAAAATCTGGGAGGGAAAACGGGAGGTACCAAACCAGTTAGAAATGTTTTATTTCTTTAAAGATAAAAATGACAAAAATGTTAAGGTATAACAAAAATAGCTGTGCATATATGACTAAAATGACAATTTCTCTAAACCTGTCTTGACTCTGTACTTGAAATATTATAGCTATTTTTTAATCTATTTTTATTGATTTCAGAGAGGAAGGGAGAGGGAGCTAGAGATAGAAACATCAATGATGAGAGAGAACCATTGATCAGCTGCCTCCTACACATACCCCACTGGGGACCAGAACCCACAACCCAGGCATGTACCCTTGACCGAATTAAACAATTCAGTCCACAGGCCCATGTTCTATCCACTGAGCCAAACCAGCTAGGGCAAAATAATTATTTTTTTTAAAGCAAAAGAAAGGGGGTTGTGGAATCAGATGTTAATTGGATACAGATAGAGATGGAGCAGAGGGAGAAAGAGTCATCACATGGGAGACATGCAATTTTATTTTTCCCTTGACTGCCTTCCTATTCGATATACTACACACACACTTACCCAGCTATAGCATATGGTGAACAGTATCAGAAAGAGAGGATGGAGTAAAGAGGTGGATGACAGGGAGGACGAAAGGATGGGTAAGGATGGGAGGTGGGGAAGGGATAAGGGGACAGCACTAGAAGACCAAAGAACATTGCTGCCTTGCAGTCTGTGACATAATCAAGTCCCTAACATTACTCACAGTCAGGCCTGCTCTGTAAACCCGGGGAAGCCCTAGGCCAGGGAAGCAGGAAGGAAGCAAGACTTCCCTTTTGCCCAGTTCTAGGTACTGGGTGGGGTGGCTTTGAAGGATGGAAGAGAGA